ATCGTAGAATCGATAAATTCTACTATGCGTGGGTCCTTGTGTCGGGGGCGTCGAATACAAACCCAAACCCAAACCCAAACCCAAACCCAACCCCAACCCCAACCCCAAACCCAACCCCAAACCCAAACCCCAAACCCTGTATGAAATGTAAGTCTATAATTAAATATTTTATTTTCTATTTTATTGGCGTATTTAGTAATCATAAAGTGGATATAATTATAAGGGATATGGATAGTAACCATCAAAAGCGAAGTAATTACGAATATATATAGCTTAAACAACGTCATAGTATTCTGAATCATTGGAATTATCTTCTGTGAATTCAGCTAAGATTCTTCCTTTTGTGATATTGGATATATTTCTAATTCTTTCCATTTTTAAAAAGGCTGTATCAATAGAGTAATCAATAGATTCATTAAGTTCAATACCAAATAGAGTCAATTCAATTATAGCTGACAAAAAGGTTTTTAAGCGACTTTGCAATTCATAGACAGCAGAGTCTTCAGTAAATAAAGTTTTAGCCCACATAAATACTGTGCTCTTTAAGGCTGTATGTAAATCATTCTAATTTTCCAATGATCTTATATCAATTTGAGAGTAATTCAGATAAGCAGTTGACTAATATTCAAGATTAATTGAAAATTAGTTGATTTTTTCTAATCTTTAATTAAGATTTTAAATGTATTATTCTAATATTTATTGACTATCTGAATTTGTAATTGTATTATTTAAATCTTATAAAGTGGATAAATGCAATAAAGATTAGCTATACAATCTAAATTCATCGTCATTTGTTATTGGATTTTTAATTAATTGTTGTAAAGCATTTAAAATAAGATTGCCAAAATTATTATAGTCTTCTAGGGTTCCACTGCAATCATCAAAATAATATTCTGAAGGACATTTGCACTTATTATCAAAGCATGTACCAACCCCTGAGCATTGTTTCAAGCAGACTTATTATTATTCAATTTCCATTAGTTTAGTCATGGTGTGAATACTTTGTAAATTTGAAAAATTAGTTTGATTATTGAAGGATTCATACAATTTGTTTTACTGATAATTTTTTCTATTGACTTGAATATCCCACACTAAATAGAACATAGATCCCTTTGCTGATTCAATTTAACACAGAACGGATATTGCATCATCAATAATTCCATTTGGAAGTTAAAAGGAACCTTCCAATTCTTGTGAATTAATCACCAAAGGAATACCATAATTTATGGATTATAGATTTACATCATTTTAGAGAATACGTTTCTCAAAATAGTAATAAATGCTAAAAATGTTTCCAGGTTATAGGTTTTGGATTGAATAGTTAAAGTAATCTAAAGATTCGCCTATTAGAGGATCTATAAAGAATTTAACTTCTGAAGGAGGATTGTTTAGCTAAAATGCTATAGATTCATTGCCTGGAACTAGATAGATGTACACAGGACTATTATAATTAGTTGTTAATCCTGTGAGTCTAAACTTTAAAGTTTGGCTTTTAATGTTGATAGAAGCCAAGATTTTGAATTCTTGCATAATGAAAGCATACTTTTAATTATTTCTAATTAAAATAGTAATTTCATCATTAAGATTGACAGAATTTTGAGGAATTTCTTAATTTAATACAAATTTCTTCCTCGATTTCAAAATCTGTAACAACAATCAATTACTCTTTTACTGTCCATCTATTATCCTTGGATGCTTTAACAAAAAAGACAAAAGTAGTATTTTAACTATCAGCATAAATATCAGCAATTCTTCTGGATGGAAATTCCATAATTTTATTTTCTTCTGTCTTACAAGGTTATAAATTGAATAAATTATTACACTACCATTAATATTCAATATTTAAAGTACTTAACACTTCATCTTTTATATTTCTATCAAAGGCTCTTGCATTAATTTAATTGTCTAATCCAATAAATCTATTCTTTTAAAGGAATTAAATGTCAATATTTTTCGATTTTAGATAAATCTTTTCATGAATGATAGAGCTTCCAGTTGATGCCATAAAAAGTAACGGGGTTTCTTTAGGTAAGAGAGATTCATTTAATGGGACTTCATAAATGGGGTTAATGGATTGATGCATGGAAAGGTAAGTTTTATTATTGGAATCAGAAATTTGAATAGTCAAATTAAATTCATTTTTCAAATCAGAGTATGTGACTTTACAATCGAAAACATAAACTCTTACTATCAAAGGATTATATTATAGAAAGATATAAGGAACTAAGTCTGGCAGTGTAGTAAATGTGAAGGTTGTGAAATTCACCCTGTTTATGAAATTCATATATTTTGCTGTTATTATATATGTAACATTAGAGGCTAGGGTACCTATTGGAATGATGAACTCACTTTTTTAATCTGCTAAGAATGCATCCATTTACAAATAATAATCTTCATTATCCATTTCATGAAGAGACCAAAATAGCACCTCTTGGATCTTCTTTGCAGTTCCTTCAAGCAATATTTGTTTAATCTCAATAGTCTTACAAGTACTTACAACAGACGGTACATCAAAAAGTATATAAGGTTTAGTTTAGACTTATGGTTCCTTCACAGCACCATCAATAAATATCTCAATATATTATCCATCACAAAGACCTTGATTTACATCTCGATAAAAAGATTATTAGAAACTCAATTTATCTCCAACATTAACAGAAGCGTATGGTTCTAATAAGATGTGAACCGCATATCTGTCCCAAGACAAATAGCATTAAGCATCTTATCCAAATATTTCAGCATTTGTAAACCAAAAAGAACAACTTGAGGGTTAGAAAGGGTTAATTAAATTAACAGATATCATATATCCAAAATAAACTATGATTGAATTTAGATCATCTGAATAATTTATCTTTACAGATGCTACTTAACAAGTAATACACCAATCCTGATTAAGTCTTCTATTACATGAACAGTTGGGAACTTAGAGATTATTTTTGCATACTAGACATTCAGATTAAGAAGTACATTCCTCACATGGGCATTTTTAACAATTATCATAGAATGAATCATCATAGAATCCTTTTGGGCATGAGCAATCAATTTAATCTCTATTATTTCCTCTGCATTATATACATTCTGTGCCATTCTAACAAGTGAGACATTTATGTAAGCATTGCTCGCAAGAATTAGATGTTTAATAATAACCAGCTTTGCATTTTCCAAAACAATGACCATCTTCAGTCAAAACATAATTATTTGCGCATGCTATACAATTTTTATTTCCATAAGCTGTGCATTAATCGCATTCAAATGAACAGGGATAACAACTGTTTTTTGTAAGATATTGCTATTTGCCACAAGATGAAACGCATTTATAATTTTCAGTGTCATTATAATAATTACTTGGACATTCATACAAGCATTAATTATTAAAGATATATAATTTATCTGGACATGATTATGAGCATTAACTGGTTGATGGATTTGAAAATAATTTGCCAGGACATTAATCTAAACATTATTACTGATATAAGTAATATCCAATTTTACAACTATTACATTAATTAAAAGATGTGCATGTGATACATTAAGAACTACATTTTTCACATTTGAATTCTGTTGAACCAAAATATCCATCTAAGCACTTTTGAAGACAAGTATTTGCATATTAATATGTGTTTATTGGACAAGTTTCATAGCACACATTTTGATATAAAAGTGAAGAGCATGAATCAACGCATTTCTTTTATTTCAAATCTTTGATTCTTGTACATTAAGTATCGCATTAATTACGTTCAAGGTAAAAATTTTCTGAACATTCTGTGCAGATATTAAAGTCATTGCAAGCTTTGCACTCCAATTTACACGGCTTACATATAATACTCCCATAATATCCATAGGGACATTGTTTCAAACATTTATTCTAATAGATGATTAAATCACATTCTTTAACACAGTCATACCCTCTTTCGTATGTATTTGGAGAGCATTCTGATTAACATGCATAATAAATTTTATTTTAATAGGGAAGTGCTGTTGGGCATGCCACTACACATTCTCCTTTATATTAATAATAAGGTTCTTCACAATTTAGACATTCATATTAATTCTTACAAACTAAACATCTCTCTGGGCATTAGTAGCAAATAGAATCTATTAAAATAGTTTTAAAAGGGCAGTCTGCAATGCATGTTTAAAGATATATATATGTATTTGCTGGACAAGATGCAGAGCATTGATCAATATGAAGAAATGTTCCTTCTGGACACAATTATTCACATTTATTTAAAACAACATTGTAATAGTATGGGCAATAATTACTACAACTTCCATCATTTAAAAACGATCCATTTGCACATTTATTACAACCAAAGGAATCGCATTCAAAACAATTCTAAGAGCAATCGTAGCAAATGAAATTTGAA